TGCATAGTTTAGTGGGCCTTACCTCATAAAATAAAAAAAATAGTTTAGTTTAAATATCAGTTTTCTTGTCATGTGACGAACACTACTCTCATACAGAGCAAATAGGAATGTCCTGCTGCCTACTCTGGGTCCCGGAGGTCACTTGCTTGAAGTGTAAAATGTGATATCTACTTTCGTTGGTCATTCTATAATTCGATGAGTTGCTCTGCAAGAGATCTGAATGGATACTTCTCATTGTGTGATACTGCCTTCTGTTTTCTTGCACAGTATTGGTCATTGGACTTGGAATGCTGCCGATTTTGATACAGTAGTTTGACTCAGGGTTGATAAATAATATGGCAGCACAGGAATATGCAGAAAAATATGAAATATAACCTTTAACAAGTGTATAGTAGTTAAAAGTACAATATTGACCTCGAAATTATAAAGCTTCGGTTAATATGTGCACGTGAGTACAAAAGTCACAAGCGCAACTGAAACCTATTACCTTTTGATTTCCTCAGGAATTCAATCTATATCTTTTCTTGTTTATTGTCCCTTGCCAATGTGATTTGAACTTTGGCCCGACATCATTCCTGTCATCCATTAATAGAGCATTTGGAATAATTCACAGTGGGAGTGCGTAAGTAGGGGGTCAACCCCACCCCACCCCCTCCCCTCCCCCCCCCCCAAAAAAATCGAACACCTTTATTAATTAATTTTCGGTAGTTCACAATTAAGATTCAAACATAAATTAATTCTATGCACCCGCGATTCCTAATGTGACTTACAAAGCGAACCCCTGCCCCCCACCCCCCCCCCCCCCCCCGAAATATACAAGTCAAACTCCACCTACGGAGGTCACCCAGCTCATCGTGAGCTCTCTCTCTCTGTGTGTGTGTACACTGTATGGTGGAGTGCTCTAACGTTGCCCGCACTTGAAGCGTCCCCACTTGTAGAGAAATTCGCGTGGCGTGTGGCCCCGTCCGGAACAGGCGCAACTCAAGAGCCTTCTCCACACACCAGAGCAGCCCCCTCCCCGCCGCACACGCCACACCACAGGGGTCTCTCTTCACTTTTAATCATCGCTCAAATGCCACTCGGTGTGCACCGAATAAGGGAATGGGGATGATGTAAGATCAGTTTACGTGCGACCCAAATTGGTTCTTTTCACGCAAATTGTCCACGCCCTGTTGTAGGAAAGAAAAACGTGTAAGGCAACTTTTTATATATTTATCCGGTGAGCTGTGTCTAACAAAGTATGCAGTTTACAGTGCTGAAACGCTTCTTTAAAGCTTAACATTAAGTTGGTGTGTGTTTTTTAAACTAATCTTTTTTTTACTCTCAAAATTAATTTGAGCTCGATAAAAAAATAATTACGGGCTTTTATTTAATTTTACTGCCATCATGCTCCGATAATAAACACCCAATAAATTCCGGCTGCCATCACAACAGAAGCAGGGTATTGTGCTCCAATGTTGCTATGGCCACGGCTCTCGTTAGATGATTTTCTAAGCTGTTAATCCAGGCTGGGAGGGCCCTTCATTAGATGTGTTCTCATTGATCTTACTGTTACATGGACAATATACACGAGTGGTCATGTTCACGAGCCAACTTTACACCAACGCATGCGTGTAGTGTTGCTGCTGATAAGTCAATTGCGAAGACTCTAAATGTGGCATTGCTATTGGCACAATTTCCTTAGTGCTTTGTGTTGGCTGACATATAATTAAAGCCCACGCATGGCTTTGTTTAGGTTAAAGCATGCACGGACAAGCGAACACATGGAGCTTGTGTTGCATTACCTATATACAATATTGGTTATAACTTTGATGGGTTTTTTTTCTGTAGTATGTCATAGAATTTATTTTTTTACAAATGTATTAATGCGTTGAAGAAAGTTTGTTAATCAGACTTCGGAGAAATAAGTTTATACCTATGTCATTGATACATAGACAAACAGCTTTTTTTCTTCCCAATTTTCAATATAGCAAGCCAACGTCAATTCTTGTAGCCCAGGAGTTATCCTGATTTATAATCCGCTTTACATTAGCACTTACAATGCAGAATCGACAATTAGATTGAAACGAGATTAAAGTAGGCTGGGAAATGTATTCAAACAAGTACTAGTTTGTCTTCTGCAATGCTGTGGGCACCCGATAAAAAGTGAAGTTATTTGAATTGTGTGCCAATGGCTGGGGTCGTTTCAATAGCTGCTGCACAGCTGTTGTGGGTTCGTTCCACTGGGTTTGAGGATTGGGGAACAGTTCTGTATCCATGGGCAGCTGGTGCATGGACGGTTTGACTTTACTTACGTGTGAGACGATTAGGATTCGTCACAGTATTGTGCATCTGCAGTCGCTTTTAGGAATGCGCGTGCCTCCTTGCCCGAATGCTTTCAGAAAAGCATTGCCTCGCTATTTATTTTCCTGCAAGGGTAAGTGCAGTTAACGAACAATGACCAAGTTCCGGTTTCATTGTGTTTTTTTTGGTTGTTGTAAGGTTTGGCTTATTGTATGTGCATTTTGGGACGGAAGTTTAAATAGTAAATAGATTTACCACTGAGAGGGGCCACCTCGTCTTAAGGTTGTCTTGAAGCATTGGTTTTTTTTCGTTGGAGGCGCTTATGCAAGTAAGTTACTGGTGCTATATTCATCAAATCTTTCCGGAAATAAGGCTAGTAGAGCGGGGAAACGCTATTATTAGCACATTGCATTCAATGTAGCCACAATGGATGTTACACGAGTGAGCCGGTTTTCGCAGACCTTGTGCAAACCGAATTGTGTCAAGTATTCCCTTGAGTGTGGTGCATTACTACACGAGCAGCAAAAACAAATACATTTTTCCATGATTGCTTCCCAATTTTGTGAGGAAGGAATTTATTTCGGTTTTCCATTGTGGATTTGGAGGCCTTTGGACAACCAGCAGATGATTTTGTAGACAAAATGAGTTTTACAGTATATACATTACATCTCACAACATCTGGTAAGTTACTTTTCAGCTCTTGATTGCCTTATTGTTTTTTACTCAGTTTTAGTATTTGTTTGTGATAATCAGACAGCATTGGTTTAATGTAAAAACTATTGGATTTTTGTGTGCTCAATTATTCGTTAATTTAACCAATATTTCGATTTAAAGCTTTCGTGACTGCAAGCATTCATCTTCCTGGTTCTTTCGGTAAAGTCACGTAGAATGAGAATAAAACAATAAAAGACGCTGCGAATCTTAGCAGCGTTCATTGAAGCGCTGTCGTCCCGACAGTTCTGTTCCTTCACCTGAAGAAGGCTACTTGTGTTGTGGCCGAAGCGTCGTGAAAATTTTATTGTCTTATTTTGTTTTATTCTCATTCTACGTGACTTTACCGAAAGAACCAAGAAGATTAACCAGTATTTTCCATCAGTGTTTTTAATTTAAGACTGAAACAGGAGGGTTTCTCTACAACTCTGGTTGTCGTCTGATGAGGCTCGTGATAATTGGCGAAAAACGTCTGACTCGTGTGCCGAACTAGTAACGAATTGGAATCTTTTGTTTACATGACAAACCTTACTAATAGGCTTAGTCGTTTGGTGGCAGGCTTAATGACACATTTACTCTGATGTTCGCTATTGGCACTATCACCCTTTCTAGTTGAATTAAACATTCGTGGCTTTACAAGTCTATACTCCTATGTATACAATTTTGTCAGTCATGTTTATCACGCAAGACCATAAGTTTACATTGTGAGTCTAAAATTTGATAGAAGCTGCTATATATGTTTTACTTAGTTTCTATATTCAGCCTTAGATATACTGTACATCTTTGTGCGTTTAAATAAAGTACTTATATTTTGTACAAACATCTCTTCAGCTGTTTGTAAAACGTCATATCTCTGAGAAGCATTTAATTTAACAGTGCCTGTTCCAGGATATTTTGAATCACGTGTGATCTTACTTCTGCGACTGCCAAATTTCCCCAGCTTCTGTGTCGGATCAAGCATGCGTGCAGATACTCACAGAATGCCGCTCATGGTCCGAATAGCCATGCATACCTGTTCGGGAACACATTCTGGAGGGCCAAATAGCAAAGCACATGTGTGCTTGTCATGCTCAAATATTTGTTTTCGGCATATATGTATTGTAGGCCCATTGTACAATTGTTATGTGATGTAAAAACATTTTTTGTATACTTCATTCACTTTGATCAGTTAGATGCTATTTTGATGCATTTTTCTTCAAATTACTGAAGGAGATGCTTTAATTTAGAAATGTATTTGTTAAAATATGTTCAGTGACAAGCATGCTAATTACAGGCGTATCCCAGCATTATCAGCCAATCCCTTGCTGGACGAAGGTCTTATGTTAAAATATTGTATATAGCCCCTTGTCCAAGGTGCTTTACACGTAATTAACAATAGTACGTAAGAATGTAATGGTGGAGATGAGGCAAGTAAAATTGATGACAGGAAGCAATGGGAAAATTTGTGATGCGTGAATTCAGTGAAAGCGAAATTGATGGCAGTATGATGGATGGATGAATGAATGGGGAATGAGTGAAAGCCATATAATGAGAATATGAAGAGGGAAAAGTAATGGTGGTGGTCATGAGGTGGAGATTAAGGGGTCTCGGGGTGAGCTCACACAGTCTTTTCTGCGATACAATTATCCACCTGGCACCTGCATGCGAGCCGATTTCATCGTTCCATCTCCGCAATGGATGTTTTCTCAAAGGTCTTCCCTCCTTTGGATAACCACTCCATTGCTAGTCTCGACCAATGCCCCTTCTAGCCGTGACGTGTTCTGCCAAACGCCTACTTTTATATACAGTCGATATGACGTCTCTCACTTGTGGATGTTCTCTTATCAATGCCTTTCTCCGTCTGTCATTGTAGTTCCAAGCGTGTACTTTTCCATGCTCGTTTTCACGTTTTTAAACTTTTGTAAAATTTTCTTCATCAGTGTCCATGTTTCCTATCCATGTCATAGTAGGTAATACATATCCATTAAAACATATTCTTCTTCTTTCCATGCTCGTTTTCACGTTTTTAAACTTTTGTAAAATTTTCTTCATCAGTGTCCATGTTTCCTATCCATGTCATAGTAGGTAATACATATCCATTAAAACATATTCTTCTTTAGGCACATGGGTATCTTTTTTTTAGGCACATGGGTATCTTACAAAATTAAGCTTTTCCAATAGCACTCAAGCATGTTCTTATCCACCTCTTAATTCATAAATTTGATCCTGGCCCACTTACATAGAGTTTTAAAATATGTTGCCCAGAATGTTGAATGGCTAAAATTGTATTTTTGCAGGCAATAACTAAAAATACACACTTGTGAAATACATCTGTAGGCACGTTGCTCACATCATCCAGAGCAGGTTCTGCTTTTAGGTCGGATTAACAGTGTACATGTCGTATTACTGTGGTGCTCTGTTGCCTTAGTCATTGCATGGTGTGAGCAAATGAAAGGCCTATGGGTTTATTGGGTGAGAGATGTTCGCTTTTCTGGAAACTTTACAAGAAATCTAAGCACTTAAATACATTCTCAGCAGGTGCAAAACAATTGATGCAGTGACTTGGATTTAAACAATATTCCACTTGTCATAGTTTTCATTGTGTACAAAGCCTAGACATGATGGTGTTTGAAATTCCGATTTGCTTTTCTGGAATCTGATTGGTAATATGTATGTGGTCAATGTCAGAAAATACGTTTTTGTTTCCAAACCTGCCTTGCTCATGTGGTTCATTGGCCTCGACATTTTTCTTTGTTCTGTTTGCAATGATCATTGTGAACAATGTGTATTGTACATGTGTAATGTGAGACTAATGGATAAAATACATACTTTTGACTGTAAAGAAAGTGAGTGGACCTGGGCAGGACATGTCGCTATAAGGGATGGTAGCCGGTGGGTTAGAATAAGAACTGAGTGACAACCAAGGAGGGCACACATCCAAGAGGACACCATCTGTGGAGGTTCTCCAATCAGATCAGCTCCTGAGCAGGTGCCGGGTGGATGATTTCGTTGCAGGATCATCAGGCATAGTGACGGCTTGGGAATGCCTTCATCCAGCAGTGGATTTATAATAGCTGATGATGATATGGTAGTTTCATAAGTGGACTTTTAGGTTGATATAGTGTACGAAAGTGCAGTATTCAAAGAAAATGATTTTCGTCTAAATTCTATTTTTAGGTGGTCAAATTTAGAATGCTAACCAATGTGACCATATGACATCGTATGCAACAGTATCATGGAGCAAGCGTAATATATTTTATGTTATAATGAAGCTATACGCTATCATTTATCTGACACTTTGTGGGCTATAAAGTTGTTACATTGTTGGATATGTTCCATTTATAAAATATGCGACCTGGTCGAGAATTAATTTACGTGTTATTGTTTTATAGTTCTATAGTACTTTCAAGGCCACATTGTACTGCATTTGCCAAGGAAACACAAGTCAGAGAATGTCTCCGAAGAACCCATTGTGCTGGTAATCTCTTACAATCGCTCTCGTAACCACACCTTTTTTTCTACCACACTTTTTTTTACCTTAATGCATTTGCCCATGCCCAAAAACGTAAATACATTTTAAAATGTCATCCAACAGTGGATTAACATAGGGAGTAATACATTGCCATTCTTAATAATGTAAATATATAAGCTGCAAGCACTGTACATGTTGTATACACGGCTGTGTTGAGATGCAATCCACTGGAAAAGCTTCATGAATGGGAAGTGAACATGATGAAACTGAAGTGCTTAGTTTTTTTTAATCTTCAACACGCAGTGATCAATCATGTTTTATTTTGATTACACGTATCCTTAGTTTTTAAGCAGTTTATTAATATAGTTAAGCATTGCATTAGTTTGGTGCTTGAGCACGAACAATAATAAATCACGTGTCAGATGAAGATAAAAACAGTCGTGAGTTTGTTTTTTGGTAGATAATATGCACTCACACTGAAACATGTATGATGCAGGCACCTCTACAATGTATATAATATTATCTTCAGTATCTTGATTTCATATATCATAATGTGTATATTTTTATTGAGGGTTGCACTTTTTTTGTCAAGGCAAGTCTCTCATGGGGTCTCTTGACCTTTTCAAAGAGGGTCTTGCTAAGTTTTTGCAACGGGAGGCAATGATTGTTGTATATTACCAATTGAGTAATTTGCAGGGAATGTTTGAAATGTGGACCTTGACTCCGACACACAACGGCCGACTCTTGGGAATGACGGTACGGGATCTTTTAATGTCCGCTGAAGAAGACTGCGCGCATCTGTTGTAAGAACCGCGGGTTCTAATGGTGAACCTCTTACAAGTGGCAAACACGCTACTGATACGCCATGTCACCTCCCCATTTATTGAATGTTTATTCTTTTTTATATTAAGGAAATGCGCGGGCCCGTTACATCGCGTTGCGACGCACGTGTACACAAAATAACATAAACCGAACCGGTTATACAAAGCAAGGGGATCGAGAGAGATGGAGATTAAGCCCGCTGGCCCAAACTAGATGGGTCCCCGCCGAAAGGGGATAAGGGTAGTTATTTTAAGTAAGGGAGAGGGGGGAGGGATATAACCGAAACCCGCCTGAAATAAAAAAACACACATAAGAGGCGACCTGGGCAAGCATGTTTTCCTTCCACCCCTTGAATATTTATTCTTAAATGTATTGTGCAGTTTTCAAACTTTATTTTCTATTTTGTTTCCATTATAATCTGCAGTTTTCTATAACCATTTAAAACCAGGTCTCTTTTGGAAAATGTGACCGCTTATTGGGAACTTTGTAAAGGTTATCTACCATTTTGAAGTACAGTACTCTAGTGTAGTTTTAGTGAGGCATACTTATTCAACGCCTAATTATGTGTATCCACAACTATACTTGAAAAATAATCCACATGCACACACATGCAGGTGCAGACACACCCAGCCAAATTCGCCCACAATTGCTGGTTTGACTGAACTTCACATTATTATCTCATATGCAGTTGTATACACTGGTGTCTAATAGAGTTCACAACCTGCAGGGACACGAAGATAATGAAACAGCTTTTTTTCTCAAAAATTACTATAAATGGACACGGGGGAGCGCATACGAAAAAAAGTACAAATTTAATTTCACTTGATTTTAACAAACCACAGATTGTCAGAGATTGTCTCATCCCTGCCAAAGACGCAAGGACACTACCAAGATTTAGTAATTGCTATCTCCCACCGATGTCCGTTCTGGCAGCATTGTTATCTACTAATTGATATCAGTAAATGTTTGGATTGGCCATTGCTTACTCTAACACGCAGGCATCCACTGAATCAACACTTCGCAGCCATATACTGTCCCAAGTGGCCCAAATCTAATTATGTAATAAGTTCGTACAACAAACCTGGGGAATTGTGTTCGTACTGCCATTGTAGGTAGTTTAGAGGCACCTGTAGTTGTAACATGTTGAACTATTGCCCCTAAACATTGTTAAACTAACACGCATTGCTTGCAACCTTATAGGGTCCCCTTCCTCCTCTCCTCCAGTAATTGTTTAGTGTTTACATTTTTCCTTGCCTGGAATGTAATTCAAGTGGCCTAGTTCAGGTGTAGTTTGTCAAGTGTTTATATGCTGATGGGTTTGTGCACATATTGTATTATTCTTGTTTGAGGCTTTGGAACGTTCACAACTGATGTGTGAATGTGCGGGAGCCCGGGTGACGTGCTTCCAATCATGGGGGATGCCCATGTGGTCCTGGGTCGCAGAGTTGCAGGAGTCGGTAATGTCAACCACAGCTGTTTGAAGGTATGAGTAACCTGAGGAGGTGCAGTTGGTTTCCCATCATCGGGCTGGCCTCTCTTCTTTGGGTTTCTGGTATTTTGTAGATTTTCACATTTCGTGGCCTTGTAGCATTCCCACTTTTTTGTGTCGTGTGCTGGCATGAGATATCAATGGGTGTACAGTGGCGTCTGTTGGCATAACACTATTTTAAGGTGATAGACGAACACATTGTCGGCAAAAGCACAGCATTTAACATCAACAATTATTTAGAAGCAGATTCCAAGCCATATAGAAGGAAACATGATATGATTGTGACCACTTTTAAGTATAAAATGACGAGTGTTATAATAGTACACTGAAAGCGTGGAAGAAAGTAATACAGCAAATGGAGAACAAGCTTTCCGAAACCAGTCAATGCCTGTTGTAGAAGATAAGAGATCTGAAAAGGGATGGACATTCCTAAACAAAATGCAATACATAGGTCTGTAAAACCTTTCCGGAACAAATCGTCGAACAATATGCAAACTTTCGTGAAGAAAAAGCGCATTTATACTGTAATTGGTAAATCATGAATAATAGCTTGTGGAGGGCAAGTTGGCAGCATAATGCATGATAGACAAAATTCTAAATCTAGCAGTGATATACTGTGTAGATGTATTTTGCCAAGTAAACAAAATTTCAGAGGCGGCAGAGGAAATTCCGGGTGTCACACTTTAAAGAAGTAACTCACTGTCTTTTGCAGTATGAAAATAGGGAAAGCTCAGACTAGGTTGAATAACCATGGACTTTATTTAACAAGCACATATTTTTAAGGTATTTCATTTGTTTCTAAACAGAAATAAAACGCATGAATTTTGTATTGATCATTCTCTTTAAAAAGGAAGACAACTGATTTGAATAATTTCAGACCCATTAGCCTATCTATCACTCATACATCACATGTTCACAAACATCATAAGAAATTGAATGATTGACGATTTACAGGCTAGTCATCCAGGTGGACAAGCTTGAATTATGAAATGTGTTTGTACCATGAACCATATATACATACTCTCAATTATTAACAGTATATGGTTTCCAAAAAAAGTGATTGGATATATAAAGGCATGAAACATAAATGAAGATAATATTATCCACCTCGGATTTGCTGATAAGATAGTTATTCTAACAACAAAAGGAAATGATTAACCCAACATGGTTGAATACTGAATAAAGAATGCTTCATAGCTGGGCTCAAGATAAAAAAAACAAGTAATACAAAAGTGAACAATAAGTTAATTAAACAAAAGAAGATACTGTAATTGTTGGGAGCATGACAGGATGGAATTGACATGAAGACACCTTTGCCAAACGGTAGATTAAGAAGAGCTGCATGCTGATAATTCTAACTTTGGTCAGGTTGTCAATGTTCGTCTTCGTATTCGCCCCTAATTAGACATAATTGGGCTTGTTGTCGCCAGACCCACTCGTCCTTGAACTCTGCTACTTGCTCCAATGTTGTGTGGCCTTTGAGCGCGGCGTGATGTGAGCCACACCCTTCAATACTGACGTCAGGTGTGGCTTGTGCTCGGAGCACTGCTGGCTTTTGTGTGCTCACCACATGAGAGGAAGCGCCCCACAGTGTATGTGCGTGCGTGTGCGCGCTTAACTCTTCTACAGCTTCACTGCCAGTAGGGTTTTTATTATTATTATCCTACAATATATTTTGTTTAAAGCATAATGTCCTCGGCAGATATAAATGGAGAAAACAGGTAAGGGTAAAATCATACCTATCTTAAGTTACAGCAAAGTGTTGTTTTTTGGAATTCGTATTGAAAAAAGGGCTTTTTCTATGCTATCATAAGTCTCGTGTACGAAGTGTAGCCAAATGCCGCTTTCGTGTATGATCTTATCTTTAATTGGAACTAGGCTGTACAGAGGTGCAGCTGGTTTTGGTATTGTGAAAGCTAGTCTGCTCATAGTTTCCATAATATTTTATGAAATCAAAGTTAAATTGAATGGTGGAGCTGTGTGGAACATTTGGTTGTGCTATGAACATGAGCTGGAATGCAGGCCACAGCTAATTAATTAACATCAGCTGCGAGTGATATAGCTGAACAGGTTATGGGCCTCTTTTACCAATCCACAGTCAGTTTGGTGAAGTATAATCAAACAACCATTACAGCTGACAGAAAGCGATAGGTTGGCAAAGGGCTGTAAATTTGAGTTTGTTTTAAAACTGAAAATGTTCAGCTCTGTCGATTAATTCTTAATTAAAAGATACAGTTTTAGAGTGATATTTATCTTGTTTAATTCTAACAAAAACCCAAATAAATGCTTGGGTACAAGGATTTACATGATTGTGTATGCTCTTAAACTTTGACCAAATAGTTTGGGATTAATAGGTAACCAGACAGCAAATTTGAAGAGTTTTGTACCGGTCATGGATGATCGTAAAATATCTGCACAGCACGTGTTGCTGGTTGACAGCTGATGTGAAATGCGTCACTTTGTCAGCGTTGTGAAGAACTACGTATTAAACCGCAATCACTGAATTAGACAATCAACGAAAGCAATTTGTCACTGAAGACATTCCAAAGCAATTCCTATTGGATACGTTCCTGTATTTTGACGCAATCGCTCAATGCACCTGCTCACATCACATCTGAAAAGCTAGGTAGCGTTGAGCATGTAGATTGCTTCAATGGGCACCCCTCCGTGAATAGCACAGGCGTTGTAGGCTGCTGCAGGGCCGCGTTGTCGCCAGGGGGGAGTGCAGATAAATCCAGTCGTGTATTGTGCCATGCTCGTGTGTACGTGCTGCCCGCCTTCACTCGCGTGCACTGACCGTGGTGGCGACGTATGGTCAAACAACGCTCATGACTCGCAAAGCATGAGGAGGTCCTCAACCAGCACTGTGCATTGGCTAAAGAGCTGTGCATGCACATACTAACTTGCGTTATATTCAACATTCTGTTTTACGTCAATGTTACGAGTTCAGTATATGTCGTATGAACTTGGGCTTTCTAACTTCTTTTCCTGTCCCGTACCTGGATCTTTTTCAATGGCACCTCATGGTATGATAATATGATTGTGGGTTAATGTAAAACTAAGCAGTGTATTTCAAATATGCGTTGCTTACATTGGGCTTGCGATAGGGACTTGGACATGGTTGCAATCTACAAGTGCACTAAAGCATTTCTGGAATGTCTCATTTAGCCTTCTTGAATCACTTCCATGTTTTTGTTGTTTTGTTTGTTGCGGTTGCACCCGATTCAAGAGCCGAATGGCTCACAGGGCTATACCAAATAAATTAAACTAAACTATGAAACTTCTGAACCTCGAGGCCAAACTGCACAGCTGGTGTGTTGCAATGATGCAGTTTACACCACCAAACACTTGGATTCCACCAGGACCTGCAGTATATCATTAACCTGTTTCATACCGTGCTTAGATCATAGTGTTTGTCAAACAAATCGTGTTACTTTCATGGCAGGCCGGCTAAACAACTCATGTGGGTCCCTTTATGTATCTGAATTGTTCTACTTAAAGTACGCGGTTAAAAAGTTATGTTATCTGTTATGGCATTTCCAATTAAAACAGTATACTGTTCTGTACATAGTACATTACTGTATTTGTAATATAATGGTTGCATCTGCTTCATTTATATGAAATGTTTTTTTTTATTTAAAGCATCATGATCATACATTACTGCTACTACCTCTAAATTGATACATTAATGTCCTTTCACTTTGTGGATATAGTGCACATGGCCATGTAATATCTGAAAGTGATGTGTGTAAGGGCAGTCACATGCCTATCACTTGATGAATTGCAGTTTTAGGTTAGGGTTACATGTAGATGCACTAATCCCGATTTGCTTGCGATCTCTTAGTGGCTGATAATTCGTTGTTCTGCCAAAACACCAGTCGATTTAATTGGAGAATGAGTGGCTTCGCCTTGACCTAACAAATGTACCTGCATTATCCCTGAATGGAAACCAAACTCCCTTGTTTATTTAACAATAAAGCTTGAACAGCCTAGCAGCGCAATGTCCACTGCTTTTTATTTTGTTATTCTGCAGCCGGAAGATGAAGCCCCGTGCACCGGTACCACCGCTGATGCGGTCCCAGTCCGAGACTGGGCCCCCAAACTTAGACCCACCAGACCATGGTGGTGGGGGTGATGGTCTCTCAGTGGAGAATGTGGAGCTCAACGTTATTCTGCCGGGTGGGGAGCACCACATGGCTCGAGTCGACGGCAGGTGCGTGTCATGTGTGCCCGGCGATGTGCATTTGGATTTCCACACACACACACTCATTCCATTCCTGCGGGGATCAAGTGATGGATGGGTAGGGACGTAGGAATGTACCAGTGTGAGGCGAAGTGTGCTCGTATCGAGGACAATATGAGATAGATGTTCAATTGATTAAATTCAACTCTGGCTCCTCCTGCGTATATAGTTATAAACACCGCCTGTGTGGGAAATAATTTCAATGTACACTTCAGTTTTGTGTTAACACATCGTTTTAATGTTTTTATAGCATCCTCCGTTATTTTCAGTGTCTTACAAGGTTGGATGCTAAAAAAAACTCTGCGTAAATAATTGGTGATTGTGAAGCTTAAAGTCAGATGGTGCTGAGCACATTCATATCTCTACTTATATATAAAGATTATTAAAAATAACTGAAGCCGTGCCAAAAAGTAAATTAAAACTGAAAAAATGCCTTTCAGCTGGCTCATTGGAATCAGCAAGCTTCAAGCAGCTGGTGTTTAAGAGGCTTTGTTAAGTGGAGTTGGAGATGTGGGGTAGGGAGGCATATGTTTGCCCTTTAAAAAAGGTATTTTATGGTCTCCCAAGTTTGGCACAAGCATTGAAATGGCAATTGGAAAGGCGTGAGCATGGAGTTTAAGAGTGGTGAACGTGCTGTGGGTGGGCAATGATCCCAGGAAAACTGGCTCCATGTGGAAGGTTTCTGTGCTATCATAGCGAGTTTTAAATGCATTAAAATAAATGTTTATTTTCACGAAACATTATCTTCATGGCTGCGAGGTCAAATTGCCCTCTTTGCAAGCAATTTATAATAAACTATTTTCAGTTGTCTGTAATGTGGTCATCTTTGGGTGATTGCATCTGCCAGTGTGTTATGTTTTTTTGGATTTGTTAAATGTGCAAATAATCGCTATGAATATAATAAACGCACAATTTTCTTTTTGATTTAAAGCTTTCGTGACTGCAGGGATTCATATTATTGGTTCTTTCGGTAAAGTCACGTAGAAGGGAAAGAATAAAAGAATAAAAATATAAAACAATAAAATTCTCATGACGTTTCGACTGCAACACAAGCAATCATTATCAGGTGTGAAAACCACAGCAAGAAAATTATTTTATTGTTTCCCTTCTATGTGACTTTACCGAAAGAACCAAGAATATACACCATTTTCTTTCTTGGAAACATTTTTGGTCATTTTAAATACATTAAAAATATATTTTCTATTCATGCAACATGTTTAACTTGTTAAGCCGTGTTTGAAATCCATGAGTGTGAACAAAACGTATAATTGATCCCCCTCCTTGTAATACATTAGGATGATGAGTGTTTTGAAGATGCATTGTGTACGATTTGTGAGATCAAAATCAATAGGATTTAACTTACATTCCATACTCATTGCTATGGCCATAAACAGTAATTTCAATTACACTCCACATATTCAATGTAAATATGACACAAACACATCTGCAAGTGTTCATAGCCATACTGTAAGAATATTATGCTACATCTTTTAACTGTTTTTGGTTTCTAAATATCGAGTCATGCCTCAATCAGGAACAAAACATGTCCTGTGTGGTTCACAGTTTGACGTTGACTTGAGCTGTGGTCTGTGCTGCTGCCCACGTGTTGCTGTGTGTGGTGCGAGCAGCAAGCCGGTGATGGACCTCCTGATTGTACTTTGCGGTCGCTACCGGTTGAGCCCTGCCGGCCACACCCTGGAGCTGCTTTCGAGGGATAATGCATCGCCTCTACAGTACAAGCCCAACACACCCCTGGGGGCCCTTTGTGCTGGGACGGCCCTCCTCAAACCTCGGCCCGCCAGTGATGACCGACTCAAGAAGCCGATGCAGCCTGTTGTCCCGGAGGTAAAGCGTTGAGCCGTTGGCGTGGCCTCATTGTAAATAGACTTTGACAGTCGAACACGCTAATCCTGTGTAGAGATTTTGGAGTGACAAAGCTGATTAGAAAAAATGGACATGTAAGCAAAGTGGCCCGGTTCATGCATACATGCAAATAACTATTATTAGATTAATTATAAGAGTTTGAAACTACACTTAGAGCTAGGTGTGTCTATGGGTGTATGTTAACACAGCATGTGTGTACGTTGTCAGTGCACAATTTTAGTTAAATACTCCTTAAGTACATTTTAGACGTCATTGCCTCAATTGGTTAGCTTCTACATTACGCGTCTTTCACACATTTCCTCGGGCGTGTTGTGCTTGTTTACACTTTGTAGAAAGTCGCATGTGTTGTTACAGGTAAAGGATTTTGTACAGTTTTGTATTCGGGTCCATCTGTGGATTACCATGTTATATATGGCTCTCTGATTTGACCTTTGTTTCAATGTGCTGGATTCATTTCTGAACCTTGCACGCATGCTGCGGACTACACCATCATGTGATGAGTATTATCAGAAACCTTGACGCTTCGGTCAAATCTACTTATGAATGGAAATATTTGTGAGACTGGATTGGTTGGATTTTGGTATCTTAACTAATGAAACATGATGAAATGCCATTATCACGTCATGCCTCACTGGATGCACCAGTTGGTGTTACCCGCCAGTTTACAACTACATTTTGCTTTGGCTCAGTTCGCCTGCAGATCATGTTTTTACCAGGCTATACTTAGCATTCATCCAGTAGAAAATTGATACTGAATGATGATGAGGATGATGATAATACTTATCCATGGGTGGAATATGCTATACAAACATTCTTATTTATATAAATGTTTTTTTTTACTTTTAAGCATCTTGCATAAACATTGCAACCTAATTAATTCTAAAGGAAAATATTTCCTTTCATTACTTCACCGGCTGTAATTATATTTATCACTTGCATTCAGTGAAAAGGATGGATTGCTTTTAGATCAAAGTATTTATGCGCCATACTTGGTTTTATTGAGAAAAGAGAGTTGTACCATTCTGTTCTTCTGTGCAAAGTTGCTTCGAAAAGCATACAATGCTTTTTGTTGTTAAATCTTTAAATTTGACTGCCTCATTACTTGGTAGTAATGAGGAAGTCAAATTTACTCTTGAAATATGTGAATGGTTGGAGTAAGATTTCAATTGGAAAAGGGACTGGCAGTCTTATGAATACGAAGGGCTAAGATGCAGCCACATTGTTTGACTATTTAAGTGGGACTGTGGTCAGGCAGAGTTAGAGTTGATCAGTTTAACACGTAGGCTTTCGCGACCAATGTCCATAATAGAGGTTTTTGGGTTAGATCGCGTATAAATATATAAATGTGTCGTGAAAACCGCCACCACCCAACACAGCCAACTAGTAAGGGTTGTCACGTAAACAGAACGTGCCAATTCGTCACTAGTACAGCACACCGGTGTGTTGGGGAGCCAAGCCACAACATTTACAAACTGAGTAAGACGTTTCGCCAGTAATTACAACTAGCTTCATCAGGTGACACCCAGATTTGTGGAGAAGTCTTACTTTTTCGTTCCTTATATAGAGGCGTAGATGTGTTTACTTTTGATTCATAGCCAGGTCAGCCTATACTGTCATAGTTTTATGCAACTGTTTACATGTTTCCTACTTTATTGACACCAACACAAGTACAATTCAATTCCAATAATGAAATGCTCTTAAACAGAGGTATGCATAGATACTGGTAATTAGAGACATGTTGTGTTTTCTATGATATTCAAATCTATTACGTATTTCCAATTCGACTCTGCATTGTTTAGTCTGAAATATAATTTAAGCATGCTTAGCAACTACAGGTACTTTAATCCTGGGGATCAGTGAACAAGGTCTTGATCTTCTCTCCTGTGGTGGCTTTGCATTGTATACCAGGATCAGAGGCTGGTTTAGAATGTTTAGTGAGTATGTAAATGTTGTGAAGGCCCAATTGTACCAGAGGCCATGGTACCTTAGTTGCTATTCTACCAAATGACAAAATGTCTTAGATTTTATCTTGTGATGGTTGTTTATTGTACGCTAGACACAGAGGCATATAGCTGGATACAGACAGATAACCTTTGGTGCATTTATTTTCATCATACAAGTTTAACACGTAGGCTTTCGCGACCAATATTATTCATATTGAAGGTTTTTGGGTTAGATCGCGTTATTTTTAAATGTGTCGTAACCATTATTATTAAAATTAAATATATTACAACTACAATTCCCTATAGGGGAAACTACTACTGATTAATAACAATTGAATAATTACCAATCTATTATATAATTACAATACCCTCCCCCTCTCCGCCTCAAATCACTGCACCAGATTGGGTTATATGATGACGTCACCGTGCTGCTCTATTTTAGACCGGGAGCAAGTGGAGGGCTTCACCATTCTGGCAAATTGCCCGATGATGCTGGATGTAATTACCAGCGAAACGTCGTAAAAAATGTTGTAAATTATGTTGATTCACTCTTCAACACACCAATGGGCTAAAGTAGTGAACTTTTGTAAACGTGACACATGTTTACTGTTTGGCTGTGTCGCGTTACGACACATTTATAAATAACGCGATCTAACCCAAAAACCTTTATTATGAATCATACAAGTTGCACGATTAATTTGCTTAGTTACAGGCTCTCCCCAGGGGTACAAATGCATGCATCCTGTAAACCAGGATATATGGAATATTACACAGCAGCATTTGTTAAGTAGGTTATATACTAGTGATGTGACCCAGAATTTCGAAACCAGCTTACTTTCTGAAATCATGGTTTGTCTGCACTGCTGGAAAATATTGGTCTGGAAGGTCCATAGGCAGAATGGATGAAACATCATTAAAAAAGGTTTTTGTTGCGACTGAGCACGACCCCAGTACAGAGCACCGGTCACAGTACAAGGGGGGAACAGAAAGACAAAACATAATTTTTCAGTCTGTTTATTATGTATTCATTACCCATGATCCTCCACCACAAACTGAGTTTGTGTATAGTTTTTCTGTTTTCTGCTGCTGAATCCCGCATAGCTTTAATGGTGCTGTTGTTCATAACAGCTGGAAACACAGCATTTGTTTAAAAGGGCTAGCTCTGCTGATGACATCCACAAGGTTGAAACTGGTGCAGAGTTTTCCTGCAAAGGCAAAGGCCCATTGGGTGAGAGACAAATACAATAACATTGTAATTTGTGTGAAGAGGCGGGCTTCCTGTCCCATTGAACCTCCACTACAGCACATCGTGAGGTTTTATACTGTAATTCAGACAAGTGTAACCCAGTTTCAGTCCCCCTTAATCCATAGCCTAGCCCAGTATGTCATTTTTAAATGGAGAAATTTGATAAACGTGGACAGCTGGATCCTAAGAGGGTAAACAAAGGCAGGATTTTTAACTACAGCATTCAATTCGTCGATCCTCTACTTAAATCTCTCTTAATTTGTTTTTCAGCAAACGGTGCGGCTGATGGTGAACTACTTGCGAACGCAGAAGACCATGGTTCGGGTGAGCCCACGTGTGGCCCTGCAAGTACTGCTGCCCGAAATCTGCAACAAGTGCGAGTTTAACGTGCCCCACACCACGCTGTTCCGGGACGCCAGCGAGACGGAGCTGCTCGATATGTCGTGCTCGCTGTCTGAGCTCGGTATCAAGGAGGTGTACGCCGTCGACAGAAGCAAAGGTTTTTTATGTTACTTTTGAGCTGTTACTTTTGAGCTGAAAAATAGTTTTTTTTATCACAGCGGTCCTTTATAAGGCTGGCTTAAAGCCTACCTTCCCTGCAGTTTATTTTAGATTTGTCAATAGAACCTCCTGGTTATTGACCTAGAATTGTTTATTTGATCAGTATGACTTTTAAGATAACAATTTGTTTTGGACGTCTGTATATATGTGTGTGTGTGTTTATGTGTGACTATTTTGTACATTACAGGCCTATATATAACTCGTAAAATGGTTTCTTATATTATCATGCAATATTTTTTTTTACATTTCATTTTGATGCTTTCCACACTACCCTGATATATCTGGAAATAATTCTGTTCTCGTTTCAATCGTTATGATGTACAGTCTATGGTCTGTTTATGGCTTTTTTCTGAGATTCCAAATGCAATGACATTTGTCTTCCTTTCACATACTTTTATCATTATTACAGTTCATTTGGAATCGCGACCCCATGTGGTGATGGTTTAAACTGTGTGCACCTTCTGAAGTTTTAATTTTTGATATTCTACTCTTTTTTTCACCTCTAAAGTTTTCAGACATCATCGCACGGGTTCTTCGGTATCTTTTGGGTTTCAAGGTATTTTACTTGTCAGTGTCCTGGAAATATGCCCTAGTCATCTGACTTTCAGTTTTGATACCCCCCCCCACTATAATAAATGGTCTCGCTATCCACGTAGAGGTCTCTTACAAGTATATTCTAGTTGCTGTGCCTACTTTTAACAGTGTTCATAACTACTAACATTTTAAAAGTAAATAATGCACATGGTACTTGCACAAATATCTCTAGTAGATGCTGATGTGAGCATTGCTTGAAATCAGTCCCCCAGCATACTCTCTCAGTCTAGTTGCCTCTGCCTCGTGCTTTTTTGTATCAGTGGGCAAAGCGCATAAATTGGCTTCGAACCTAAAGCCCCCGTGATTGGATTTCTTTGTCGTTCCTTTGGCTACCCATGCATAACAATGCAGAGGATTGTTCGTGCTTTGTGTGTGTGTGTGAGTTTATGAGCTGCATGTTGGGGCTTGCTGGCTGCTGGAATCGAGCACGGAATGTTTACATGTCCCATGTGCAGCCACCATGTGGGTAAACTGACTTCTTGGCCGCATTAATAATGGCTTGGGAGGCTAAGAATGTACGTGCTTGGACAACTCCATGGTTTCCGTGACGGTCTGCATGTTTCAAACCCTTTGCACAACCAGCGCCATTCTCTGCTGCGTGTTTTGCTGCATTTGTGTGCCACCAGCGCCCCCCAGTGGGAAATTAAAGAAGTGTAAAATATTTTTCTTTTTTTTACAATCCTGCCATCTAGTGGAGAAGTATTGTTACAATGAACAATGTGAACGCTCTGTAGAGGTGTACTTAAAAATTATGTACACAAGTATGGTGTAAATATGCATGTTTATATCAACATTGAATAAACACCTCAATCATTTTGGTACGTGTATGAAAATAATTAATACAAAAAATAGACCACGTACTGACCGGCTTAATTAATTTAACTTTGTATTGCATTTGCAAAACTATGGACCATTCACTGTGAAGCGAATGCGCTGCGTGTCATCCCTGTTGCTATTGATATGCATATTAACGCTCAGGTAATGGAAACCATCACCTGTGGATGTATTGAGTAGCTCTCTTTGTATTACAGAGCTGAGCCATGGCCTTAACGACAACGCAGACCTTCCTGAGAAGGAAAACAAAGGGCTTTTGAGCTTTTTGCGGCCAAAGAAAAAGAAGGTAAATACGTAATATACCTGTACCCCTGTGTATTTGCGATTGAGCAATGTTTTTCTTGCTGTGGTGTTCTCTTGTAACTTTATTAAATGGTATATTATTCTCTTATCGAGAGGAGTGTCATATGTAGATACACGGAGACATGTTTGTAACAAGTTGGTGTGTTTATAGTTCAAATGTATTGTGGAGGCATTTGCTTTTTTTTAAATATATATTTCCGCTTATATTTGAATATACTAACACGTTGCATGCAGAAGCTTGCTTTGAACGCTGTTGGGACATGTTCTTGCTGTTGATACTAACGCATGTAACTAGCTACTTCTAGCTGTTCCCTGTGCGCATTGTTGAGTTTTTGCTGTCTTTGCTTACCCGTGTGTCATGTCCTCTTTCTGCTGCTATGGCTTTCCCAGAGTGATGATGATGTTTCCGAGTGTGGTTCCAACAGTTCAGTGCATGGTGACAGTAGCAGAGACGTAAGTACTAACTCTGCTTACAGCCCTGCTGACGATACTAACAGCAGTGCTAACAGAAAATCATTCCTCATGCTTGTGCTCACAGCAGTAAATGTCGCACAGGCCCATCACTTTTTAGCGCTAACCCTGTTCACTTTTAATACTCAGTTGCCCTTGAAGAACTGTCTTGAATTATGGTGCTATGATTCAAATTAAAGCTTGCACTCAGCGTGTATGTGGAGGATGAATAGTTTACTTTGATGTTTAGAAGCCTTTGGCAAAAAAAACCTTTAAACCTGTCAACATGATATCATAGCTTCAAAGCTAAAGCAGACTGTCATTAAAATGTTACGCTTTGTTTTGCACATCAAACTGTTGAAAAAGATAATTTTCCGTCATGCCGACCTTATAATTCAATGTGAAAGACATTTTTTTTAAAATAATAAAACACTCATAATTACCCTTTTTACATTTTAAAATGTGGCATTGATATTTTGCTGGGAGCTTATAAGGTCCCCACAAAAATATCAATGTGTTATGCAGTGTAGTCCTATAGTTCGTTATCTTTGTTTTCTGGTTCACTTTATTGTTACAATCATATTGGAAAATAATTTTAGTTATCAACTAAATCAGTTAATGCCATTGTCAGAATTTGTGTAAGTTATCTTGGTGGAATAAGTTGTATACTTCCCCCACTTTTAGTGAAATTAGTCGCATGTAGTGGACAGGTGTAAATTGCAAAACAACAACTTTCCAGAAATTATTCACTGGTAAAACATGTTTTAGACCAATTTACCTGACAGTGCACCCTTTTGGAAGAATTAGCAATTTATTTAGCTGCATCGTATGATTCATGCTGATTCCATTGATGTTGAGAATCATCAAATTCAGGTAAGTACTGTTAATTCAGTGATCACTGTACAACTGGATTGTTGAATGATTAAATTACAGCTGATCTTTAAGTTTATATTTATCACATACCTTGATTTACTTTTGAAATGTTTAAATTCAAATGTATCAGTTTATTTAATGCAGATGTATCGTGGTTGCTGTAGGTGTCACTCAATACACGTTTAAATTGTTGGTGCAAAATGTTTTTGCGTTATTACAATGTACTATTTAAAAGTTTAACACAGTGGTTCTCAACCCGGGGGGGGGAGGTATGCCCCTCTATGGGAAGCACAAAAGACTTTCAAGAGGGGTGCAGGCTGTGGCATGAATACTGTGCATGATAAATTTATCATGTGCAAGGAGAGGAACGCCATCGCCATATTTGCAGCAACAAAACACCAATACACAACATGAAACAAATGCTTTACCAACCCATTGACTAGAGGCCTCGTCGATATATGATCTTCCTATCATGGCATTTGTATACGAAGTTGTATTTTTGGGGCAAAGGGTGTGGGGACCATCGGTCTTAATTGGGTGGCCTTCATATTCTTAGTTCTTTCGGTAAAGTCACGTTGAAGGGAAACAACAAAATACCGAAAGAACTAAGAATATGAATTACTGCAGTCACGAAAGCTTTAAATCAAAATTTGGGTGGCCTTCATTTCAAAAAGGTTGATAACCACTGCTTTAAGACATCGAGTCGGCAAATTCAAAGTTCTTGATGTAACATGGTCCCAGTTGATGCACTTGTAGTTTTTTAATTTTTAAACACTGGCTAACTTGTCAACGTTTTCCACAGACTTCCATGCCTGGAACACCATTAATGGGGCAGCAGCACCATCAGCGACCCATGAGCATGCCGTGCGTGCCCTCCCCTATGCTGGGCGCACTGCCCAGTGGCGGTGGTGGTGGCGGCAAGGGGCCTGGCGGCGTGTCGGTGTGCCCCGAAGGACCGAGGAAGCGGAGGGCCCCGGCACCCCCTGTCTCACCCACCAACCCCCTGGCCACCACACCCCCCATCCCTGAGGACGGAGAGCCTAACAAAGACAAAGAAAACCTTCCGTCCATCTCTCCTGGCAGCCAGGATAGCGGTTTCGAGCAGGTGTGTCGGGATCACTTGCAGGTGATGCATTCGTTTTACATTAATGTTGTATGCATGCAGTACAATGTACATTTCAATTAAAAGCATGTGCATGCTTTTAATGCCAAGATCTATCTGGGTTCTCCAGTTTGTTATTTACAGAACATGACACAAACTGAGACTGGTGCAGTTTTAAGTCCAAATTTCAGAATATGTTTGAATTTGCTGTACTCTGCTCTCTTACACTTACTCTTGTATTTAGTGTAAAAGCAGGAGACTTCGTAGCAGCATATCTCCCTACCCCCACTACATTATAGCACGTAGGCCTTTGCACTTCAGTTGTAGGGTGGGGGCCATGTAGCCAGGTGCCACTTGCCCCACCCATCAGAAAAAAAAGTGAGTCATGAGTAATACTTTGGTAGATGTTATCATTGCTGACCACTAGCAATCCTGTTTTTAAAGCTTTTTCTCGATTTATATGACATTAAGTATTTTTAATGAGCTTTTTTTGTACCATCCATTTCAGTTAACCGTTTTAAGTAATAGCCTTTGCTTTTTGGAAATTATTAATAACCTTCGCTATGGTTGCGCTGCTCTTAAAAGTAAGGTCGTAAAAAAATGTGCATGGGTCCACCAGCAGAAAAGGAACCTTTATTTCCCCACATGCCATAGATGAGTTGTGAGCTGACTTTTGTTTATGTTGCGAGCTGTTAATAAAACACCTCTTATATTTGCCCTCCAGCAAGATTTTTCAACGGTGACATAAAGAAAGTAAATAGAAGGGCAGTACAGTATCTTTTTTCTGCTTTGACTGTGTACATTGGCTGAACAAACAGCACTTTAATCCTGGAGGTACATGCAACCCCACCCCCCTGTATAAAGCATGACACAACTTATCGTGCTATTCCAAAATGAACTATACAATATCCCATACTGCTGCATCCCAAGCTATATCATGCCGAATAACTTTCAGGGTCTTCTAATGCTGTGCAAACATGTAGGCGACGGAATGGGTAAAGAAGCACATCGGCAAACGAGACTTGGGCAGCACCACATCACGAGGGGTGAAGGGGCGTTTGGCACGAACTTTATTGTGCAGTATCGTGCCAAACAATGCAGATCGGGATATGAAGGGGTAATGCCATTGTTAGCTTGCATTAGCTGTACAGTCACGGTATGGATATACAGTATACATATAAAATAAACCTAAGGCTTTAATTGCTTAATCTCTTTTCTTTGTTAACAAAATTGTTATCGCAAACACACTTCAAAAACAAGCTTATGAAGCCTTTTCAGGCTGCTTCAAAATTTTTGTGGCATTTACATGTTCTTTTATTGTAATACTGCATATGTTTAATGTATTGGAAGTATGTTTAACGTCTTTCACATTGTGCATAGCCAACCAATAACGTAGCGTCTGGTATATAAATAGCTTCCATTATTGGCATGATACTCGAGCCCGAGTATCATGAAATAAAAGACGTTCTTTGAAAACGATGACTTCTTTTATACCTCTACCTAATATTTAACATCATTAAAAAAATAAAATTTCACTTAAATTCATCAATCCCCACTGACCAGCATGGCAATGTATTACACTAGTAGGAATACTTACATATTCAGGAAAGTCACACTGAGTCTGAAGACTCTTATTCAAGAGGGTCCTGCATAGGGATGTTTGGCCAATAGCTATGACATGTACGGCTATTTTAGCTATAGTTCCATTAACTTTCGTTCTTCACTTCCTGACCTCTCTCAAAAAAATAAATTTCAACGAATTAGTTCTTGTATTTTAATAAAGTTCTTTGTTACATAACACACCACCATTGGTAAATAGTTGTACAGTATTGTGCTGGGAGACAGGTTTGGCTTTGTCGGATATCTCTGAACAACTTTGTGTTTCTTGCTCAGAGCTCTCCAGACCAGCCGCGCCTCGCACAGGAGGCCAGAAGAAGCCGGTCTCCCCCTGCTGCACCATTGGCCTCATCTTCGACTGAGGCCGCTGGAGCTACGTCGCCACTCGCCATGCTGCAGCATCGCACCAAGCGCCGTGCACCTCCCCCTCCCCCATCCACAACCGCCCAGGGTACGCAGGCCGCCGCCGAGTCGCCGCCGCCGTCGCCACCTCCGAGATCTGCCCCAGAACAGGCCTCGGCAGCGTTGTTGTTGTTGCAGCCTGGATCCCCTCCTCCTGTGCAGCCAAGCGTGGAGAACCAGCATCGAAGGCGGAGCAGCTCCACAGGTGAGAGAGCTCTCGCGTGCTCACATTTTCAACTTCGATTTTTTTTTTTAAAATCAAGTGCTCATGTAGTTGTATCGATTCAAGACTGATTTATTTTTTGCGATGGGAGTGCTTTTGGCTCTGTTCAAATGTGGGAATTTTAGCCGTGCCATCAACCAACCAACATTTTTATTTAATCGAAAAAGTATGTTTGAAAAGCTTCTGTTCGTTTAGTGCTTGGTGACAACCTGCAAGCATCTTGGGGAGCAAAAGTGAAATTCCATTGCTTTTAGTGCAGTAGAACTGCTTAGGCACAATACCTAAACTTAATCATCACCTAGCCGATTTGTCAAGATCATGTTTACACAGGGGAGAAGGTACGCAAACATGTTCCAATTGTGCATGCAGTTTTGTTTGGCTTCAACTGTCTTCTTTCAACAAGACCTCTGCTCCTTGTGAGTCCCACTATGTCAGTTGTCAGTCAAAGCACCTTTTATAATATGATGAAAAGGTGAAATGTTTAATTGGCGACTTATTTTTGAGGACATAAACATAGAATACATTATCATTGTTATGCTGAATGAAGGGTGAAGTCGTGGAATGTTAAAGTGCCTACCCAGTAATATTTTGGGGTTTAAGAGATTTGGCCGGAATGAATTGTTCATCGACTAAACAAAATTTGTTTTTTTAATTGTGAAGAGATACACTTGGCAATTTTGGTGCCATCAGAATCTTTATTTTAGACTGGAGGAATCCGATGTGCTATGAAGCTCATTTTCACAGATGGCCAGTAAAAGGGATGACATTGTCGTAGTGATAGATTACACAGAAATTGCCGCACAATGGCATCGTACCATGCAATGTGTTGTGATGGGGGTTGTATATTGTCAGTTGTGTGTTTTTTAGTCAGGTAACGTCACAATCCAACAGTCATCCAATCAGTGAGCAAGTTGGTCTAGTGAGCATGTAGATAGTGTGTATATGTATATATGTGATTATGAGTGAGTGTATGTGAGTACTTATGTATGTGTGCGTGCATGCGTGTATGTTGGGATCGATAGCAGAGTGGTTATTGCACTGCACTATAAATCCAGTAACCTGAATTAAATTCCCAGCCACAGCTAACATCATTGTCAAGTCATGTTTGCATCAATCTGAGGCCTTCCCTATGTTGACTCGGCATGCAAATAAGTTCTGGTGTGGTGTGCGAACATCATCACTGGAACAACAAATGTAGCTAGCCGTGGTTCTGGCCACACCACACCCGCTCCTACACTGTTCCGGCCTTCATAGGTACTCCCCAATAATAATAATTGCCTGAACATTCTGTAAAAGGCTAAATGGGGGAGCTTATGTGTTTGTGGGTGTGGATATGAATGTGTGTGTGCATGAATGCATCTTTGTGTGAGGATGCACACACATACTTGTATATACATATGTGTGTATATGTGTAATGACAGTGCGGAGCGATAGCGGGACTGTGTGGCTCCCCGTGACCATGGTTACTAATGGACGAGCTATTAATGAGACGGAAGCCAATGGTGGGGAAGGACGAATTAGTGAGGATTCATGAGACGGGATCCAATGGTGGGGAAGTGTGAGAAGGACGTGAGCGGCAGGGCCAGGTGAGGTGAGGAGGATTGAGACTTAGGGTGTGGCCGGAGCGGGCGAGCATAAATAGCAGCACGAGTGGCTGCTTGGTGTGGGGAACTGCTGTCGTCGTCACCTGGGATCGGGTCGTCTCCATCGTCCGCAAGTTGTCTGGAGCTTGGCAGCTAGGATTGTCTCCGAGTAGGGTTGTGTCTCATCACCCAAGTGTACAGTCACTCGTGTTATGTGTTGAGTTGTTGGACTTTATTCTTAATAAATATACGGAAGACAAGACGGTGTCTCTGAGAGCTACATTACATATGTACAGATGTGTGTCTTTCTTGTTTTTCTGATTCATACCATCCTCTGTGGTAGCACTTTTGCATAGTGTTGCACCTCGGACATTTTCTTGAAATTGATTGAGTGCAATCCAACACAATATGGTCATCCCCATATTGACTGTACTAAAATAGCATATTGCATCTAGGCCTAAAGACATTGTGCTTTGCTCCTAGTTCCTATGATAACTGTCATGTGAAAATGCAAACCTTTTCGTAGCGAATGTTATTATTTGGCATTCCATTTTTCATGTTTTTTTATGCTGTCGTTTGGTGATGCACTCTTACAATTACTCATGCGTGGCTGTACTTTGGCTCTATTGAAAGTTTATACATTATGCTTACATCTTAGATGTTCAGACAGGAACAAAAAGTAATTCCCCGGACAAGTCTTAGACGTTCATAACTGAAGAGCATGTTTTATATTAACAGCCAGCTGCTGTTTGAACCTTAAAGAGTTCACTTGATCAGTTATGGGTAAGTAAAATCTGCTGATGCTAATGAATGACATTCATATGTATGGAATTTTGTTGTTTTTCTCAGCCTCCACTCAAAGTTCTGGGAGCTTACCGTTAAAGGATGAAAATAAAGAAGGTAAATATTTAAATCATACTTGCACAGATGCCACCATGTACAATATTATTCATATGTGCTGAATGAGTATCGATTAAGGATACTGTTTTTATTTTATTGGAATGTAGTAGTCACCCTTGGAAGTGCTAGATCCCCAAGATTCTCGAATTCTAGAAAGTCCTTGTGCCAACCGCCATCAGGATTGAGCGAGTTGCATTTGTGGCTTTGTATAAAGATCAGGGGGGCAACCATCTCGCCCAATAATTAACAGATTCCTGAAAGGAGCCCTTTTTAAGATTCACTACATTTGGATTCACGTTGCCCATAGTCCCTGATGCTGTCTATGGGGACTCGACTTGAGCCCATAGCCTCGATGAGGTTTGCATTTATAGTATGGAAAGTCACCCTGATTTTGGCATTTACCTCTGCAAAAGAGGTTTGGCATTTTGATCCCCAAAAGCTAATATTGACTATCTTGAATGTGGTAGTTTATTCCAAGTTGGACACTGGTCTAACTTCCTGGGTGGCTATCTCTGGAACGTAAGCATTTTGTTGTCTCAGTAAGTGTTGCATAAAATTTGTTCGGGTACTCGTCGCCTCCTGAAAGTTGTTATGCTAACACAGAGACACCACTATGTGCTGAGCGTCCATCCACCGGACACCTGGGTTTGTGGGTATGCGTTTGTGAATTTACTCTTGCAAAGCAGGACACGTGAGTTGGTGACACGATGGGCTTGTGCCCTCCAGTTGGCTGGACACCTTTGAAATGAGAAATCCTTTGTAGTGCTCCAGTAGCACTCCAGTTATGGCACGGCTCTCATAGACTGGTGATCTAAGTTGTGTCCGCTCCTGCGGATTATTTTGGCTTAAAATATTTACTTGAAAATAGTTTTAAAAGCATTATATAGCAATAACCAATGCTGCTACAACTTTTCGCGTACTGTACATTGTGGCGTCTGTGTTAGTTGAGTGGCAGCTAGGGCCCCAACAAATGTTAAAAGAAATCTGCATAAAGTAATTTCTGTGGAAATATTCCAAAATAAATTTGCCTTGCGTTTACTTTGGGAACTTTTTTTTTCCTCACAGCCTGAAAGTCCCGTGTGATGTACATACATGTTAACGCAAATAACTCAATTATTGCACATTCTACATACGATGTGTCACGTGTGTGGATTTACATTGCCTTCACAATAACGATATACTGCAAAACAATTCACATTGGCGTGTACTACCTCGCGTTCATCAATATCAATGTTGCCACAACCTTAGGAGTAAGTGAACGGCCTACACCTGTAAAACCCCCACGCGGGTCCCAGGCGTCCCCACCTCTCGTGGTTCCCACCTCGCCGCCACCCGGCATCGCACGGGATCCTCCACAGTTCCAGGCACCCCCTCCTCCACCATACCCTCCTCCTCCTCCTGAGCCGACCACTCCGCCCCCTGAACCTCCTCATGCCGTCCCATCAGGTGAGGAGGGTCTGTGTAGCTCCTCGTCATACCGCACTGCCGCCCCACTTGTGTTCCCACACGGCTATTCAAAAATCATACACACACCCCGTTTCCATTTCAAGCCAGATGTGTGTCACGCGGTGTAGCGGGTAATCATTGCAGGGAGCTGTAAAATGCACGGCTTCATTGGAATAGATGGCTGTATAAGCAGTATGGAGGCCAGAAGTAATTTTAATCCAATAAACTGTTTCTTTAAATGGTTGTTCATTTAGATATCTTGTGATCAAAATTGTAATCATGTGCCGACAATTGGCTAATTATTACACTACTTTCATAAAATATGTTATTTATCAAGAGTTTTAGGCACGTTAATTCAGATATAAAATTTTCTTTCATACTGTAGAATAATGCTTACAAGTTGAAACAACTGCATAACCTTGCAGCCGGGGCACCATTTCCTTTGAAAGTGTGTGGATTAAATGAAGGGTCTTTTTAAAGTCCTTTACCCTTCATGGTCCTCATTTTCCATGAAAATGTTGAAAGGCTGCGTAGCAAACAGCTTGCCAAAATATAAAAAAAAATCTAATTTATGATTTACATAGTATTATTATTTTACATATGTTCCATGCAAATTCAGACTAACTTTATTTCAGCTGGTAAAACACCACGGAGCTAAGCGGCTCTTTTACAAGGACAACCATTGACTTTTTCTCTCTTTTTTTATTTGGCCTGCACATATAACTGGCTGTCAAACATCTCTTGTGGAATTTCATAAGATATATCTTACAAACTGTTCATACATATGTTGAACACGTACATATGGTGTGTTTTAAACTTATGTTTGAACTGTGAATCTTTGTTTAAACGGCAATTGTGGTGCTTATAACGTAACATTTTCAACCTGTTTAAAGTGGTAGTGTGAGTGTACCCATATGTTTGCATGTTATAGATTTTTGAATTAAAGCTCTTAGATACTCCACCAAGTGCTCTACTTTTTAATTTCATTGGCTACCTATGTTCTAAACGACACCCATACCGTATTGTTTATTTGTTGATGTTTTGTAAAACTGGAATTTGGACTTCCAATGGACAAACAAGTCGAACTTTGTATGTTTGACATTAACGTGACGTTCTTTAGTATCTAAACAATATTTAATGTATGTATGTTGAAATTAATTCGCTCCGTACGGAGCCAGGCGTGATAATGTGAGGTGCTAATCAATTGCGCTTTTGATGAAAGCATTATTGATTTAAAAGATAACAAGTAAATTCTGAAATCTTGCACAAATCAAATTTCAAATGCATATACAAGTTTATGTTTATTATGTTAAAAACTCACAAGCAATTTCTTCTGCCAATGTTGGACTAATACTCTTGCTTACTGTTCATGTAAGGGACTCTTTCATCCACAATTTGTACATTTGTGCAAGTCTGTTCTCACCAGATATAATCTTTGGCTATGGTGTTTATTCTGGTTGTTGTACAGTATATGTCTTCTGTTGGCCAAAAGCTCTTTTTGTTTAACAAAAACTTCACACAAAACCCAGAGCAGATGCCCTGAGATTACGGTGGGAACGTCTTTATGCGTCATTCATGGAGCCACAGCCTTGCAGTATAAATATTGCCTCGCTGTTTACTTTTCTCAAAACACCTGCGCACTGATGACACGTATATGTCGGAGAAAATCCATTGGTTGCAGATACTTGCTCATGGAGGAGATGCAGAACAGTACGGTGAAAAAAGGGCATTCGTCTGTGTTCAAAAATACTATATGCTTCACATTTTGTGGTTTTAATAAGAAATCTCCGTGGTATTGAAGACATAAATGAAAATAACCCTATTTTTTCCCCCCAAGTGCTCTTACATACCATAATAGTTTGAGTGAACTTTCACTTTTGTCTGAGAAAATGGATTCACGTCACTCGTAAAAAAAAATAAACATTGTTCAACGTTTTGAAGTACATTATGGTGTTCATATCCACAATGTTTAATGGACCTTATTCATATGTTGTTTGACAGTTATTACTGCTGTAAAAAAAACTTTGAACGAGGGTGGTGGAATGGGCAGTGATTCCAATGTCACAAAGCAACAGTGCATGCCTGAAGCGGCACCTCGTAGGCTTGAACAAGGAACCACCGCCAAGTCTGAGACACAGAAGACTTTCTGTGGCGCATCTCAACAAGCTCAGTAAGGCATCGTAACCCATTGCTCTTCGAACAGATATGCTATTTTTACATGTGACACCTTGCTTTATTTTAATTTATATGCGTTGAAATGCTCAGTTTGTAATGTCAAGTGTCCTGTTATGCTAAAAGAACACGTTTCCTATGTAATTTGTGCTGTTTATTAATGTTGGTGCAGGGCCTTAGCTGATAACATGGTGCAAGAATGCTCATCAGACCTGGTACAGGCTGACAATGATGCTGCAGCAACTGCTGAATTCGATGAGTTAATTGCTGAACTTGAAATGGGGCTGACGGGTGAGTGCTTTTATACACAAAATGGTTAGTCATGGAAATAAGAATAATATAGCACAATACTTAACATGTGACAAAATTCTGTGTTATTCACAAAGCGTGCAAGAAGTGAAAAGCAAATTAGTGATAATATAACCATTTTCAGAAATATTTCCGTGGCATAATTGGTGTGGAATTTGTGATTTAAACATATCAAATGTATGCTTTTGTCTTGTTTGCAGATGATGACTTGAAGTCTAAGAGTAGTCCCCCCAATGTGGAGACTGTAAAAAATATTAAAGCAGAGGCTGACGTTAATTTTATTGTAGAGCCGGTTAAAAAGCCAGAGCCAGCCCTTCCAGATTCAACAGTGATAAAAGCCACTGCAGACAGCACCTCCAATAGTACTGATAAAGTAGATATAAACAATGAGACAAAGTATCATGTTTTATCGGCAAATGCCAATGTGGCAACAGATGTCAAAAGAGGACCTTCAAAAAAAGCTTTGCAGTTTCTCAAAGCTTATAATGATATGCAAAAAAGGGAAGCAGCTGATAGAAACAAGGCTGGAAATGTGCAACAGGTTTCTGATAAGCCACCTGTTACTCAGAAAAAGGATGGTAATGAAGTAAAAGTCGACTTTCTTGCCAAGGTTCAGAAATCTGCCTTGGCCCAGCAACGTGACAATAAATCCAAACCTACCCTTTGTGGGTCTTTTTCTGGGGCCACTGCAAAAGCATCTGGTTATGTAGTGGGTGAACAAGACCCCAGACATAAAAGGTTATCTATGGCTTTCCCTGACATATCCACCAAACCAAATAGTGAGTTAAGCAGGGCAGAAAGGCATGGAGGAAGCCTAAAGTGTCTAGATAAAATGCCTGTTAAAAACGAAACCTTTCTAAATGCGCATGTGGAGAAAATCCCTGTAGTACATGCCAAATCTGTGGACAAGCAAGTAAATAGTATACCTGTGGAACGACAGAATGCATCATCCGAACAGTATAAAAAACAACTGGTAACACAAAAACACAAGACATACGTGGAAGAGTCTGTAATGATCCAGCCAGTAGAAATCCATAAAGAAATTGCAGGAGCTATAGAAGAAATAGTTGAACCAAACAAAGTTTGCAAGGTTATTGTCGAAGAAAGGCCAACTAAACCATCAGAAAAATTATATCTTTCAGAAAGCATTACAAGTGAAAAAGTATATAAAACTTCACAGCCAGTAATGGACCAGTCAAATGAGCCTGAGGCTTCGATGCAAAACAGCATTTTTTACAAGACACCATCAATTTCAAAAGAGACATGTGCACCTGAAGTTGAATATCAATATAATTCTGCTGAACCATCTTCTCCAGTTCTTCCTATCTATAAGCAACCTTCAGATCGGTGGAGGTCCACAAATGAAATCACCAGAGATTATCTTCCTAAAGTGGGATTGACCACTTACAGAATTGTTCCTTCCAAGCCAGTCATAAGACCAAAACCTGAAACAGCTGATGTCCCATTCCTTCTACCACCTTATGAAACAGAACCCATCAAGACTGAGAATGCTACTGCAACCGATACTACAAAAGAAATCAAAGAAAAGTTTAAATATGACTCAACAGCGAAGATCAGTGACATTACAGCCAATCCACAACAGCATACAGCACATCAGTCACCAGTGATTTCTCCACCATTAATTCCCCCACCATTGATTCCTCCACCATTGATTCCTCCTTTATCAGGGCTCTCAAATGTGGCTCGCCCATTCCAGAGGTCCCATTCCCTCCAGTGTACTACAGAGACAATATCTCAGCAACACTCTGCTGCTGTTAAAGCCACCGAGCCACTTGCCAGCATTGCCACATCTCCACCATCTAGCTCAAAGCAAGATGCATTTTTCCGTCCCGGCAGGAGAACCTCCAGCCTCTATGTGGCATCTGCCATTGCCAAGAAAACAGCCTACAAGTCCATTGATGCTCCAAATGAACCTTACAGTGGCACAACCACAATAAAGACAACACCTGTGGATGCTTTGCCACCACTTCAGGTAAATTGTGAACAGGATGAGCTCATAATTCCACCACCACCACAGTTTTCTACAGAAGAAAATGCCAACATTCCAAATGCTCCAGGTGACCCAGGGAAGGTGATTATAATTGAGGCACCACGAGTTCATCAATGGAAGCCAAAACTATTTAGACCAGTCAGTTTCCCAAGCGTCATGTTCAAAGATGACAAACCATCTAGCATGAGTGTAGCGTCGAGTCATTTAGAGTCTAAGAACACCGTTTTTCCTGTCAAGTCACAACCTCCGGTGATTTCTCAACCAAGTAGTGGAAACCATTTTAATGTAAAATCAGCATCTAACTCATCTCAAATTCAGTCTGTTCTCAGTTCTCCAAAATCCACAGATGCAAGTCCTTTCTATCAGCCTCCCACAGTTTTAAATACCACTGGAACTGCACTGGAAAGTCCCAGTCTTATTTATGAGCAGAGAAAACCATCAGGTGAAGATACTGGTCTGTTTGGACCGATGCTGAAGTTAAAACCTGTGGTGCAAAAACCAATTCTGAAGGATAACAATCCACATAATTCCCTAATGGAAGCGCTTCAGTCTACAGACAACATGGGCAGATTGAGAAAGGTCAGACTACTTTGTCTACATCGTCACGTTTAAAATATTGTAATAAATATGGAAAATTTGTGTCTATCGTAAATTAAATGTAATTCATTTATTTTAAAACGTATTTATAGAACATGCATTTTTAACTTATTGCATATGTATAATTAAAGTTATCTTCAACATTTACCTTGCTAATATAAAACGTACACATTTCCATAAATGTTCTGGTTTCATTATATTCTAGGTTTCAGGTGAAAATCTGCAGAAAATACCAGCAGCTGTTGAAAGTGAGACGGAAAGAGATGTTCTCATGGCCGCTATTCGATCAGGCGCAGGAGGGAAACGACTGAGAAAAGTAAGTGGGAATGCAAGTGACAACTGTGTATTTAATTTTGCAGATAATTGACCTTTCAAGAGGATAATCATTCATCGTCTTAGACGTTCATAATTCCTTATAATGGTCTGAACAAATAATATTACAACAATTCTTTATTACTTTGACATCAATTCCCATCCCAATAGATGTCCTTACACATCTTCTTTCATATCTGTGAAATGTTAGTTGATTTGTAAAGCTATACATGCTGTATAGTATAAAAAGAGATTGTTTTTGTCTCAGCAATACTGTTCTTTTCAACCAAATGATATTAAACCTCACCATCATAGTGAGGTGTCTGGACTTTTCATATTGCAAATAGTTTCTCATGTGCCCTCTGTAGCTTGAACGACTGAGCCACATTATTGACTATTCAAGGCACTTATTTTTACGTGGCGATTAGTAATTGTAAGCATCACTAGAATACTCCTTAAATATTACTTGCAAAGAAAAGTAACTTGCCTGTTGTGAACAAAAAATTACATTTAAAATGTGTTTTTTCACCATCCTCTTGTGAAATCAATTAAGCTATTTGTAGCAATATTTATGAAGTATACTTTGCATTTGTTTTATTTCATTAAAGTCTACACACCTTGGTAACTGGATACTGGATGAAGTGCCTTGAACGTTTGATAGGTCAGTTTCATCTGTATAAACATTTTGTGACCACGCGACAGACACGTGCATGCACTTTGGGGGCTGTTCTAGGAATTGTTTATTTGTATTTTGGTTTGGTCCCTATGACAACAAGAGCCACGTCTGCTGTTGCAGTATCTCCTGCACCAAATATTTAACAGGCATTTGCATTTGACGGGATATACACTTATTTAGACCTCTTTCACCTTATTTATCTATTGGTACTTATGAAATCCAGTTATCCAGTTCACTTTTGCAAAAAAACCTTTGTTTTCACAATTCAGTAAATAAAAAAAACATCCAAATTGGTTTAAATTAAGTTTGTGACGCGTAACCTTGTGGGCCAGCATCTAACACTGCAGATGTAGTACTTGCTTGTTAAAATAATAAAATTACACATTATTGAGGTGGTGACATCTTGGCAAATGGCTTACACAATTTACCTTGATGTATGCATTCATGTAACCCAAGCTCATATCGTGACGACTTTGAATAAGTTCAGCTGTTAAGGTTTCTTGGCAGTGCAAACCTGCAAAACCTAAAACCAGCTGTCACCTACCCCCCCTCCTCAATCCCCCTGGCTCTACAACCAGTTCTCATTTCGTGCTGACACTTACTAGTTGGGGCTTTTTGCTTCTTTGGCCTCTTGCAGCAGTAGTAATTAAGGTTGGATTAAATTCTGTGTTTGTAGAATGTTGACACATGGATGCATTTATTTTAGGGAGGACTGATAAGGTTGTTTAAACATCCTAAGGCCAAAAGTAGGGTGGGCAGAGTCTGTGGGAAGAAAAAGCGCCAGTAAAGTATACCCATGGCGCCAGTGGGACAGTGGTGAAGGAAAACGGCATGCCTTAGGATGGTCTATGAAGCCATGTTATGGCTATAAACATTAACAATGCTCCTCATTCCCATTATTTTCTCCTTTTATTTTTTTTCACTAAATTGTTTAATTTTGTGTTAATCAAAATAATGAACTAATTCTGAACTTATGGTTTTCTAAAACCTTTGCAATTATTATTTAGCAATGATAAACTTAAGATTTGTAAATAGTACATCTCGTAATTTGTCAATCAAACATATGCACATTTTAGTTATATTTTATCATTAGACTGCCCACTTCGTTTTGGGTTAATAAAACTATTCAGTGATACTGCATTGCCAGTAGTGCACAAGTACAATTAACAAACCCTCCACATTAGGAAATAACACTGCCTTAAATATATGTAATCAGCGAAGTTTTGCTCAATGGCCCTTCCTCATAGTACATAATTTATTCGCTATGAAGAAGAGCCATTGCACAAAACGTCGCCTGTTCCACATTTAAATTTCATAATTTCGCAGTGACATCACCTTGACGATGTCACAGTCACACTTTCCTGCCAAAAGTGCTGTAACATAATGTAATGTTTGCTTAAATTAGAAAATGTGAAAATCTTCACTTGAAAATTATTATTTTACAATTGGAACTGTATGTTAAAATAAAAAAATTGGTGATTAATATTGAAAGTAGTATGGATTATTAAATGTATTGCATAAACAATGAAAAAGCTTCACATTTAATATATTTAAATAAAATAATGTTAAATACAGTCCTGGAATAGGCCTAAAACCCCAAAAATCGGATTTCTGACCAATGAAATCCGAATCTCATGCTTGATGTACGTATCATATCTCATCATCAACCATACGCCTTGCCAAACTATTTTGTTTAATTTAAATTCAAGCTTAAGCTGTCCTCTAGACGCACAATATTTTGTATTTACTTTTACATGTTTGCAGTTTTTTTTTAAAGTATGCCTCATCTTATTCAAGTGTTGCCATTCCATTTTTGGTAATAAGTGTTTTTAGTTTTCAAATATTTTCACTTCGGCCTTCATTTATAAAAACTTGGATTACTTCATCAATTCCTACTAGGTCAAATGCCTCTTCATCGTCTACACAGGCTAGCCATTGTGGTATTTGGTATTCATTCGTCTTTTCCAGAATCAGAATGATAGTATAGGACTGTGCGTTTAATGTTGGGGACCCATATCGCAGATCTTATTATCCGAGGGGTTATCTGCGATTTTGCCCCTCTTATCCCCGAAAAATTGTGGCTTATAGAAGTAATGACACAGTGCATGCTGGGAAAGTGACTGGTCAGTACCTGCGAATAATAGGCTGGCCGGGCAATTCCTCTTGTCTGAAAACAAATCTAGGCTAATAGGAGTATGTGAGGGGTGGGTCGTCTTTAAAAAAACATCAGGTGTTTGCGTACGCTCACACGCTTGAAACACATCTCTGAAGTATCTCTGTACGTCTGCTGATCTATTTATCACTTTGTGTGTTTGTAATGTACTTTCCCCTGTCCCTATCTTCACCTATGTTTGTATGTACAGTGCACGTATCTCCATGTGTTTCTGTGTCTGTCTCCATCACTCTCAATCTCCAAGTCTTTGTGTATCTCCCTCTGTGTGTGTCTTCATGTCTTTGTGTCTCTGGGTGTGTCTCTGTCTTTGGGGAGTGGTAGTGCAGCGGTTTGTGCGCCGTGCTGTGAACCGAGATACACCAGTTAAATTCCTGCTCACGGTCAAAACAAGTGACGAATATTTAAACTGGTTCTGGGCATCTTCTAGGTTGACTCGGCCTCAAATGAGTACCTGGTGCGGTGTGTAAACATTAGCACGAGGGAGACAAAGGTGGCCGGGCGTAATGCTGGCCACCCTCGTGTACCGTTCTTGCCTTCACAGGTGCTCGTGCTAACATCACTTGCTCCAAGAGTCAGTGAGAGCTATACAGGGTGGTGGGGGGGGATATTTGTGTCTCGTGTGTGTGTCTCGTCTTTGTGTCTTTGTTTTTCCATGCAATGTATAAACAAAGCAAGTGGCATCCGTTAATTTGCTTTGGCCAAAGTGATTTTTTTTTTAATAAAAAGTTTCGGATAATAGGATGTATGTGCCGTGGGACTCTTATCTGCAAAAATCTCAGATTATAGGATGCCATTCCGCAATGACTAATGAAAAAGTCGGGGATAATCGAGGATAATAGGAAGAATAGGGCCGTGGATAATGGAACTTTTGTGAACCTGACAGCTGTTGCAAATTATACGACTCACGGATATTAGGGCCTATTTATCTGCTCCCATTAATATATACATTAACAAAAACATCCTTTAATATCATTTTCTTGAGCTTAAGGATGTACGTTTGTACAGCATCGAACAATGGCACGATTTGTCTGAACTTGAAGTGTGTTACCTCAGCACACTTCTCGGTGTCTCATTCACTGGTGTGTGCTACTGTCTTTTGGTTTTCATAGACCTCATCTGCAGCAGCAGAAGAACTGGTGTCTCAGCAGTTGAGAGAAGCTGACTCGGGCGATTCAGCCACAGTGCGGCCACGGCTTGCATCTGTGCATTCTCCTCCGGTTCCCATAGCCCCACCTCCTCCTGTCATCCTTATGGGTAATGGGGCCACAAGTACAGAGCGTAGTCCCGAGGATGCACGTCTGGCCATGCTTGATGCCATCCGATCCGGCAGTTGTGCTGGCATGCTTAAGAAGGTGGGCACAAGAGCTCAGTTGATACACATGCATACATATATATTTACTACACACACATTTTTTATTTCTTATATGTGCATTGAAGTTAAGGTGGCAAACATTTTAACTTTCAAAAAATGTCCATTGCCGCATTGCAATAGAGAAATATATACTGTATTGCAATTAAAATATACAGGTGGTCCTCAACTTAAGTCCGTTCGACTTGCGTTGATCCGCACTTATGGCAGGTCACCAATTGACACCCTTGTTACTTTCGGCGGTCAGTCCCTTACATACGGCGTGACGCTGACTCAGGTGCTGGTTCTGTGCACAAACAAACAATACAGTACGTCACCCAGTCAGTCAGCCTCCCAACGTGCTCCGGTGCTAAACCTCTGTGCATTCTTCGTGCTGTTGAAGCATTTTTTTATTATTTGATTGATTTCATCCTTTAAAAAAGGTAAGAACTTTCTAGACACTAATATTGTACTTTATATATAATTGGTAGTTGATTAAATATGCTACTTGTATTCATATCTATTAAAAGTGGCATATCGGATCCTTGGTCAGGAACGTGACCCCCTATTATATCATTGATTATCTGGGAAAATCTGTCTCGGCATATGTCGCTTCGACTTGCGACACCTTTTCTAGAAATGTGACCTGATGTAGATCCGAGGACTGCCTGTACAATTTAAATGCGATATACCTTTCCCCCTCCCCCCCCCCCCCCCCCCCCTGCTCGATTTCTATAGGTGCCAAAGTCTGTGAAGACCATCGAAGTAAATGGAAAGTCAGGAACCATCAGGAGTTCATCGTCATAGGAAGGCGATTGACACATCCAACCTCCCATTGAGCGCCTTACTGTAGACATTAGGAGCACTTTGCCTTTAGACTGTGGAACAAATACAACATGAAAGCCTACTGGAGACCATATTGTTCATGACCAATGAAGTACCATGTGTACTGATGGTTGGTGCTTTACGTGTGTATTTTCTTTGTGCAAAATAATTATGCACACCATTAAATGTGTGCAAAAGAATGTGTACACTTATATTTTGTATTGACACCTTTTTATTGCATATTAGACCTTTCTAAAACAGGTTTTTTTTTTCCCCCCCTGGCAGCTTGTGTTTTTGATGGGGAAGTAATGGGGACTCTTAAAATGCCTCTTGATGCACATAATACATGTTATGTACTAGAATTTACATGACATTATTTCTCATATACTTACGTGCAAGTTTGTACTTTGTCTATCAATAGCATATAGCTGGAAAAGGCAGTAATTTTGCTTGGAGCATTGTGTCAAAAGATCGGTGGGAAACTGTAAACGTGGCTCCATTAAATGAGATGTGTGCCTTTCCCCACGTTATTAGAGCAATTGAAAATAATTAAACATGCTCGTGATTATCATTGTATATTATGAATTAACAAATATTACTAATTTGATGCAGTTGAAAAAGCCGATGAGGAATTCCCGCATGTGTACCAGCATGCAATGAGCGATCTATTCGGGGACAAATTGCACTTCTTGCATGGAATAGAGCCACGTTGACAGTGATGCAGGTACTCGAACCTAGCAGATGGGACGGTTAAAGGCTGAATGGCTTGTCAATGGATGTCAGTATTATTGTTGCCCTTATTATTCATGCAATGGTTTGCTTTGTTTCTGTATTTCTTTAACGAGACCAGCGTCTCTTATTTGTCATTTAACCACTGCTGTTCTAAAATGTACTTTGCACAGTATTTTGTTTAACGTCTGACATTCCAATAAACGTGTGGCATATGTTATACTGAAATTGCCATGAAAAATAAGTATATTTACTCCGCAATATTATTTCGAGAATGGAATAAAATAACACTGACATGCCACTGTTTATAAGGCAAGCAATGTAATGTAATAATAGGCGTTCTTGAGCAGCATACCTTGATGGCCTTTGTGCTAACTACTGTTTTCTTGTGGCGGTGGCAGCAACATGACTACATTTATAAAAATATGGAAGATGTGTCCATTACATTATACTATACTTATATTTTCAATAGAAAAAATTGGGAGCACTTGTCTTTTTACATTCTGGAGGTTTAATGATGTGTTTCGTGTTGATGTACGAATAAACACTTGGTGCAGCCTGTTTTTTTTATGCCCTGTATGTCGGTGCGTATAGAAACCAGTGCGTACGAGTACTGTACAGTATACCCATTGCAGAGTACAATGTATTTGCATTAAGCGACAAAGTTGCATGTTCATACTGTTGAACATATACGGCAATGCAGATATTGGGGATGTTTCTTTTTGGGTGCATCCGTGTGTAAATGTTAGTGAACTGGCACACAAGCATATACGCAGTTCTACAGTATTGCATTTGCCACTGAACTCTTGGAACGCCTGTGACTCCGGCAGCAGTCTGGAAATACTAAAATGTCACTTTTGTAGCTTGAGGGAAGGAAATGGAAATGGACAAGGTGTGTTTGCAGCCCACGCCTCGTCACTTTGTCTCAGAGACAAGCGCATGCTAGCAGCACTGAGTCCTCGCATCTGTATGAAGACTTGCAATGCACAGAGTATATTATAGGAATCGAAGGAATGGTGGAACTTTAGTACACATTGTCATGGAGTTTATATTGTCCAATGCCCGACTGTACTTTAAATCCGCATATAACCTATTGCGTTTTCTTACGCTGTAGGTGGAGGGTGGGCATGCATTTAAATGTCCCGCGTCTGCTGTGACGTGTCGGCCCCTTGGCACACAAAGGCTCTTTTGTGTAGTTGACCTTGGCGTTGTCATGCTTTAGCCGTGCCCTCACGTCCCCCTGCCTCAATACGTTAATTGGGTGTGGAACATTATAGCTCGCAATAGGTTTTTTTTTATATATGATTTTGTTGCACTGAAGACGAGGAAAAACATTTGGAACAAGCTAGACTCGATACAAAAATAATCACCTGTGCTTTTGCACAGGACGGAGCGTGCAACGATCGGCGTTAATTGTTCCAATTAACGCATTACCGTCGGCTCTTACGTCAAAGCAAAGTGTCGCTTTTCATTCAGCACGGGGTAGTTATTTCGGTGTTCGCTCGGTTTGCAGACACCCCCGGTGATGGCTGTCGCTCTGCGGTTTGCACGATCACGGGACGCTTAATTCCGGTCAAAATGTACACGTTTACCCTGCAATTAAACAACCATAGGTGTGATACATGGAGACTTAAGTTTTACGTGTAGGGCATGCGCCCATAAAAAAGGGGTAGGCAGAACAGAATGTCCTTTTTATTGCGGGGTGTCGCAATTGCCACACAGTCGGTGATTAATGATTTACACCGGGGGGCAGGTTTTCTTGTTCTGGCAACTTTAAGCCCCCGAACATGTGGTTGCTCTCTTTCTCCAGAGCACCCGATAAGCCGTGACAATGATGCAACAAGTACACCGCGTGGCGAGGCGGAGAGTTTGACCAAGTGTCACTTTTATTGCCGAGGCAGACACGGGCAATGAAAGGCCCACCGGGCGTGTTGGGAGTGCCACGGTGGCTAGGAGATGTTAACTACCTCGCCTGGTATACAGGAAGGTCGTGGCTTCGATGCCGAACCTGACGCCTGCTGCTGCTGCTGTATATTTGGAGTTTGCGTGTCTCTCTCTCCTCCCGTGGTCGCGTGAATCTATCTCCGGGTTTCCCCTCCACATTGAAAACTTACATGAATAAAAAAAAACTGGCTTCTATAAATGTCCACGTGATAAGCCACTTCGTTGACATACAACGTGTGGCCCCAAGTCGCTCTTGAAAAATAACTATATATATAGCTCGGTGGGCCTTATCTGTTACAATAAAAATAGTTGTAGCTGCAGCAGTGGCGATAGACAGCGGGTTGGTGGTGCTGGGGGGGGGGGGGTCGAGTCGGTTTGTTGCGCACGCAGCGAATGAAACGACGCGAGTGAATGAGCGACCCTACCGCTCTTCTTGCATCATTCATCGTACCTAAAGCAAACAGCAAAGTTAAGGGGGTGGGGGGGGGGGGTGGTTTGCCAGGTGGGACAAGCCGAAGTCGCAGAGGGAACTACTTGAGCGTGAAAAAGTATAACAGAGGAGTTTAAAGGAACGCGCGCACGCGCGCACAAAGTCAGCCGCGTGCTAATGAAGAAGTGAAGCTAACCCGTGTACCGCCCCACGGTAAACACTGCTGATGTCATGCTCTCACGCCCCCCCCCCCGGTACGCGTCTCGCTCTCTCTCTCTCTGTATGTGTTGAGTGTGTATAAATGTATGTGGCGTGTCCGTATGCGTGTGTGTGAGTGTGTCCGTGCGTTTATCCGGCCGCATCGGGGTCCACGCGTTCCTCCGCTGTCGTGGGGGGTAGTGGTTGGGGTGGCCAAGCAGAGCAAGCAAGAAGGATTCGGCAGTGAGTCGCTTGCTGCTACCGGCGGCGGCTGACCACCAGCGGTGCTAAAGCAGTCCCGTCTGACTGACCTCCTCTGGTTGACTTGTGGAAAGGGGTAAGTTCAATCCGAGGCGATGTTTAGCCACGGCAGACCACTGCTGCCTCTGACCCAGCTCGCGTTTCGTTGAGTCCGTTGTGCGACACCCGGTGTTTGCTGATCCTGGGACTTTGATGCCGCTGCTGCTGCTGCTGCCGCTGTTGTCCTAACTCGTAACTTATTGTGTTTAAGCGAATGGACGCGAGTCGTCGGTGATTGACGACGCGTAGAGGATAACGCAATTCTCTTGACTCTGCTCGGCGTGTCGGTCACGACGCGCATTGTCCGGTTGCTGAGCTTGTCAGCCGCAGCTCGGCGTGAGCGGTATAAGCAATGTGCGTTGTAAAGTAACGTGATTTAATGTACACTACAAGGCCGTAGCCATGAGGTCAACATTGGTGGGGGACCAAATCTTAAAGGGGGTTTGGGGGTTCCCCCCCCCCAGAAAAAAATATCTCTATTTGAAAACGAATTTCCTGCCTAAAATATTACAAAATTCACTAACTCCTTATTTTTTTTACAATAATGTCTAATAGTGTATTGTATTACATTGTTCTGTTTAATTTTTTTTTTACCTTTTCTTGTTTCATTGTATGTAATGGCAGAGATTAGGGATTAATAAAGTACAACCATAACCACAATCATATCAACCGAAATCTGTGTTATAGCAATATATTGGGGGGGACATTTTGAGCATATTTGAATATTGGGGAGGGAGGGGATGTGTCCCCCCCCCAATATATTATAATTACGGCCTTGCTATACTATGTACTCTGGTGGGAAACCACGTTATAGCGGTGTAAGTACACACAACACTGGTGCTTGCGTTGTGACGAGGATGCGTTTCACGCGTTTGCTTTTACTCCCAGTTTAAAGATCCGAGGCTTATTGACTATTCACGCAGTTGTCACCACCGCGACACAAGAGAACACGGCGATAATAGACAGGCGCCTGCTGCTGTCGACACGAGACAATTTGTAGTGTTTGTGCACACGGACTTCGGGGGGGGGGGCGGGGGGGGGGGTCGCCTCTGTTACACTCAATAACTTTTACAATCACAGTCGTGTCTCGGTTTCCAAAGTCATAAAACAAGTCACGGAGCATCCTTTCCACCCCCCACAGAACTACTAGGGTACATTCAAACTGCTGGTCCATGTCTTGTGACACCCCCCCCCCGCCCGCCCCATGTAATTCTGTAAAACGTAATATATTTTTAAACGTGTATATGAAAAAGATTAAAAAAAAATGTTAGGGGCCAATTCATGGTGGGGCGGGGGGGGTCACAAGCCATATTGGACCATACCCCTTGTAAGTTGCCATAAAACCAATGCTCATTGCATCTCCCAGCCATGCGAGTTTAAATTTCGGGGCTGGAGGGGTGGATGAGCCCCCCCCCCCGCACCCACCACCAACCCCCTCTAAACGATTGTAGTCAAGTAAAAGAATGTCAGCAGAGCTAGAGGAGCGTGCACGACATAGGTGGGTGGGTGGGGGGAAGGTCGTTGTTCTGTTTAGCGTTCAACGTTTGCTCAACGTTTGTTTAACATTGTGTGGTGCCCCCCATCTCTCTCTCTCTCACCCCGACCTCCTCCTTCCCCACCCCCGGAGTTCGTGGGGGTGCCAGCTCTTGAAACAAGGTCACGCCACGGGGCTGCCAGATACCAACGCTATTACAGTTTCTACAATCATTAAACGGGGCAGCTCATTTCCCCCAACACACACACACATTATACCTTGTGTGCAACTTAAGCGGAATGCTTCGTCCTATGCTACCAGGTGTAGACCTACGCCGTTCCCCGGGTCTCTTTAGCACCGAGGCAACCGCACACTTTCTAAGGGCGGAGAGGCATTGTTGGCTTTGCTTGCCACGTTCCTAAAGCGGTTATGGGACGGTCCAAGTTTTAGTATTGCAGCACCGGTAATGAAAAGTAAAAGGTCTGTTAGCTGCGGAGTTGGCGATTCCCCGTCTACTGAACGTGTGTGAAAAAGAGCGTCGGAGCTCGTCGGATTTCTCCAGGGTGAACACAGATTCTGATTCCAACGTCGATTAATGTGACCGTACGTGTGTGTAGACAGACATATGTAGACACTGCTAGATGAGGGCTTTGCCCGCGTCGTGTGGTAAATCGGCGTTATTTGGCCATACTTCTCATCGCGTTGGTTGAGTGCGGGTTGGTGAAGCAAGGGGACATAGACGTTGGACAACAGTGTAGCACAACTATGGATATTGGTGCACTGACCCCTGTTGACAACGCAGCCCCCCCCCCCCGCAGCAGCCTATAGCACCTGCTTGATGCTTGGTGATCGCCCATACACGCGCTGTCAGACCTGCTTCACCTTCCATAGCCGAAGAGATCCCATATGTCTTCCCAGGTGATTGGAAGAGCGAGACAATACCACAATCTTTGCAATGCAACTCGTGTGCTCACGCCCATGCATTTTATAGAGAAAACAGTTTACTGGTGCCGTGCAAAACAAAAAGGGACGAAGCATAACCTCGGACAAGGTCGCTTATGAACGCATAACTGAGTGAAGGTTGTTTAGACGGACGCGTGAGCTGTAACATGCACTGTTTGTTCACTTACTACTCGCTCCAGGCTCCAGCAAGCAGCTGTGCGATATTCATATCAACATGCACCGCCAATGGAGTGTCTGGTAATCGGTAAAGAGCCCTTTAAACTGTAGCTGAAGCGGTGCTCGGTCGCGCACCTTCGGTGGACAATCAGGTCCAAAGCTCAGAAAGACTGGTCAGTAGACGTTTTCATAAAACCACCTTAAGTGATTTCCTCCTCCCCCCCACTCCCATAACGTGTACAATACCAGAACTTACAGGTCGATCCAGATGTCTTGTAACCGCCATTTGATTATCTAAAACGTGTATATATATTTTTTTTGTTAAAAGTGAGGTTTATTTAAAACAGAAATGAATATGCGTAGGGAGAACACACATTTTGATTTAAAGCTTTCGTGACTGCAGGGATTCATTTTCTTGGTTCTTTCGGTAAAGTCACGTATAAGGGAAAAAAAATATGTTTTATTATTTTATTGTTTCCCTTCTACGTGACTTTACCGAAAGAACCAAGAATGAGAACACAAATGTTCGCGGGGGTCAATTCATTGGGGGGTCGCAAGTCATCTGTACCACCCTGTACATTACTGGTAAGTACACCTGGTAGTACATGTTGGTGTGGTAGAGCACACGTTGAGAACCCCTTTGTTTTGAGCTTGGCTTGCAGAGAGTTGACAAACTTGCCAGCTGCAGACTCGGCCTGGACCGTTCGGGTTTGTTTGTAACCCTCTGGGACCCGAGACGAAAACCAGGTTCCTGCAAGTCAACAGTCACACTAGCCTATCTCGGTGAGTCTGGTTTTTTTGTGCTACTGTTTATGTAATGTTGGTTTTACCCAGATCTTCCTTGAGGACCTGCATATACCAACATTTGCTGTGAAAGCTACAGTACTTTAATAATAAAGTGAGCACTTAACATACAGTAAACTATTGCTTACAGGCACTGACTGGCGAATTGCAGTAATATATGCAGTGTGTATCTTTTTAGAACGAATACACGTTTGTGTAAGTTCAATCACTGATGGGCAATTAATGGCATGTGTAATTCATGTTCCGCAAAGCATGTGGAAACAAGTCATTCGAAGTGATGATGGCATTTAATTGGTATATTGTTATATTGTCCACCCACCCAAAATGTCGGGTTAATAGATTACTTTTCTAAGATAGGAGTGTAATAAATGTATCATTTAACGATCGTTATATACACTTTGTACAGACTATCAGTAGTCATTTGGCCATTGTGTAGGCAGGTCTTATGGACCGCCAGGTTGTGAAGGTTGTCCAGGGTTTATTATTATTATTGATCAAAAGACAGCCCGTACCTTTAGGTTCTGTTGATTTCAGTGCCGGAAACAGATTGGGAATTGAGTTGCATAACACCAAAAATCAGGCACAGGAAAGCAATGATAATGGCCAATGTAATTATTTTATGAAATAGTTTGGAACATTAAATAGTACTGCAGATAAACACTCCCTCCCATACTTATTGTAACGATAAGACAGTAAGAGAAACCAGATTAAAAAAGGCAAAGCACGCTCAACGCATGCGAGGGTTGTGAATGCCGGAGTTCATTTCAAAGTTATTCCGTATCGTGCAAGAGCGTCTCTTAGAATGTTGACTGCTCGTTTATTGAAAGACATAATTTCTAAACCGATGTTGTGAGTTGTAGGAAAAAGTGTGGCCTGTGTGGCAAAGTTTCACTCTCCGAATGACTTGTCTGGTTGACCGTTGTGCGGCACGAGGACCTCAAAGAACTGTGAGGCCAAGCCGCAGATATCCTCGTCACTTTGCGGGGCTGTCTAGACAGTCGACTCGCGTGTTACTCAAGCATGCAGGTGCGCTCCGTTGTCAGTCCCAGTGTCTCACGCAGATATTTATACTGGTAGGAACCTCCTGGTTCCACCAGCCCACAGGGGATTATTGTGTCCGTCCGTTGTGCATCCAAAAAGGGGAGGGGAGGGGTGGGGCTGGGTGGAGAGGGGAGGGTGGGGAGGGGCTTGGTGGGGAGGGAGGGTGGGGAGGGGCTGGGTGGGGGGAGGGAGGGGTGGGGGCTGGGTGGGGAGGGGCTGGTCACCCCGTGGTGCCCTTATAAAACTCAACGTTTAACCTACTCACGCCGGCTTATGCCCGCCCTCACAGTCGGGCATATTTGCGGAATACACCACGAGGTGGTGCCACCGTTGACCCTGGCCATTGAGCGAGCAACCCAACGTTCCTACCAGCTCCCTCCGCAGGAATATGTTCTCTTGGCACGCGGAATCTTTGTAAAGGTAAGGAACTCTAACGTCACGCGCTTTCGACAGAACTCGAGCAGATTGATTGAGTGTATGTTAGTCACGAGTTTGTCCCGTGACATGGCCCAGCGGCAGCGCATTTCCCACTCGTTGCAGTGTTCCGCGGTTCCAATCCCTCAGGCTGCCCTGGTTATTACTGTGGGTGTAATAACCAC